TGTGTGTGCGTGTGCTTGTGTGTGTGTGTATGTGTATGTATGTGTGTGTGAGTGTGAGTGTGTATTTGTGTGTATGTTTGTGTGTGTGTGTATGTGTGTGTGCGTGTGTTTGTGTGTGTGTGTGTGTGTGTGTGTGTGTGTGTGTGTGTGTGTGAGTGTGTGCGTGTGTGTGTGTATGTGAGTACTGGACGTTTGATAGCGCACACACATGTAAATATAAGCACATGTGTACGCTTTTGTTTGGCTTACTCATTCACAGCAGGGGACATAATCATGCCATCTTGATTTAACTCTGAGTTGCTAGAGTAGCTTCCCCTGACTCAGGTGTTTGCCCTAGTTTATCAAACGACCGCCATTTTGAAGCGGAAGTGAACTGAAGATAGGAAGCCACTTTCAACCAGGTAGCGATAACAGCTATGCAGGTAAGATAAGCTTGCCCTGATTGTTTATCTCTGATAGTTTGTTATCGGAAGCTTTATTCTGTTAACCCTACCGGGATTCTGACTACAGTTTGTAGGGCTTGGGTAAACTTGTCGCTTGCTTTTTCTTTAAGTTGTGAAATTACGGCGGTGTCGGTTTTGAAACACTGTCTTACAAGAGTCAAGAGCAGGTGGAGTGGTAACCGTTATTTCCGGGTAGGCGACATTGTTGATAGAGGGATGATATCATCTGATATGCACTGGTTCTTTTGTAAACACTTGCGCGGTGTATAAGATCTGGATCCTAATCTAGATCTAGTGTTAGGACTTTAGGCCTTGGGCAAGATTGACGTTTTCGGAGGGTAAAGAAAAATGTTTAATAAACTTATTAGTAGAGGCGACGGCGAGACATTTATTAAAGTATTTTAAGTCATCAGTATTTACTTATACTTATAGGAATTTGTTAGGCACGCGTACGCCCGCCTAACACTGGATTGTTAGGGGCACATATTTTCAAAGTCAAGGCCGTTCGGTGTTCTCAAAAGTCAAGGTCTTTCGTTCGGCGTTTCGTTTCCCTCCCATTCATTCCAGCGTGCTTGGTCGAGCAAAGATGGATTGGGATTGAGACTCGTGAACTCGTGACTTGATCTAGATCTAATCTAAATTTTCTAGATCTCTGTCTTGTGGGGAGGGAGGGAGAGAGAGTGTATTTCTGAATGAAAAAAGACAGATACAGAGAGGAAAGGAATGTGTGTGTGTGTGTTTGACAGAGCGCGCGAGAGCACAAACACACACACATACAGAGAGAGAGAGAGAGAGAGAGAGAGAGAGAAAGAGTGATGGAGAGAGAAAGAGAGTGTGTGTGACTAGTGAGAGAGAGAGAGAGAAATGACAGAGAGAGCGAGAGAGAGATGACAGGGAGAGCGAGAGAGATGAGAGAAAGAGAGAGGGAGGGAGGGAGGGAGAGTGTGATTCTGAATAAAAAAAGACAGATACAGAGAGGAAAAGAATGTGTGTGTGTTTGACAGAGTGCGCGAACGCTCAAACAGAGAGAGAGAGAAAGAGAGAGAGAGAGACATGGAGAGAAAAAGAAAGAGAGTGTGTGTGACTAGTGAGAGAGAGAGAGAGAGAGAGAGAGAGAAAAGACAGAGAGAGCGAGAGAAAGAGAGATGACAGGGAAAGTGAGAGGAATGACAGAGAGAGAGAGTTTGGGG